TGTGCACTACAATAAATTTGACAGTAGTAAAATACAGTAAAATTTATTGTAGTGCACAGTAAAATTAGGATAAATTAAAAAAAAAATTCTCTCCGTGTACAGATCTGAAAATAATTTTTTGTTGAATCATCAAAATAATTTCTTGCAAATGTTAAAACTGATAAACATTGCTGTAAAACGTGTTGTTATTCTGACAGTCATTTTGACTTTCGCACAAAATTATTTTGATTATTGAATAAAAATTATTTTCAGATCTGGATTCAGCAAAATTGTTCTTTCCTGTAGTCTAACTAATTTATAGACGGGTGCATCCTGGTCTTTCTCCAACTCTATTATACGCTTGAGCTTAGCGCTCTCGAACGGCTTTACAACAATTAGCGTAAGCGCACGAACGCGTATATATACATATATATATTACCGAGCACTCGTATACTTTTTTTTTTACTAACACATACTCTCTCTCGAACAGCGTTCGGTGCCGGGACAAGGTTGGCGGATCTATATGGGGCAATGCGTGTCTCGTAAGGCGGGCGCCGTCGTCGCAGCATCCGGTCATCACAACTCGCCCTCGTACCGTATCATGGACAAGGCCCAGAAACAGGTGAGCTTCTCCGCCGTCTTTACACGCATGTATGTACATCCGCGCGCGACATCGTCGCGTCGCTTTAACTGCAGCGATAAAAACACCGTCGACCGCACCGCCGATGGACGTTGAACTTCAAGGTCCACGTTCACCGCGTCGACGTCTGTGGTGTCCCTGGCTGTTCTTGCCCGTTATTGCATTTACGCAATATCCACGAGGGATCGCGTATATATGTACATATATGTACCTACATATGTATGAATACGCGCTTTCCGATACGCGGATCGCGTGTACTGCATGCACACGCTCGGACGTATAGCGGAAAATCCAGCTGATCGCGCGCGGGTGGCTACAAGGCTGAAGGCCACGTCGAGGTTCAACGCCCTTTCTCGAACGCGCGATTCCACCCGCAACGGGATTGCGCTTCACCCGCGAATAGATCATCATTCGCGCGTATCCGTATTCGCGAACGATCGCCCGTGCGACCGTGCGTTTCCTTTCCGTAAAAATGAACGGTCGGCGACGCGTGACGCGAACTTTATCGCGTTCGCCGACTCTGTTTCCACCGGCGCGGCGCGGCGCAACAGCGAAGGCGTCGGAGCTATCTTTCGGCGCTGAACCAGTTTTCATTTCACACGCGATCGAAACAGCTTTATGGGAGCAGTGCAGCAGTTTCGACGATATAGCGGATATTATAATCTTCGGCCCGCTTCCTCCCGGATCGATTACTCGCGATTGAAGTCTATAACGATAATAATAACGTCTTTCGATGTACGACGTGCAGAGATAAGCCCACCGCGCAATCGCTCTCACGCTCGAGTGCCTCGTCTAACGATTAAACTAAGAAGAGTTCGACTGTCGAACGTATTCACGATGTATTTCCATGCAAGTTATGCCGATCTCCACTTTCGCGGCTCGCGTTACCTTAACTTTCTCATGCACGAATCGCGACGAATTAATTATCTTCGAGCGGACGTGACGTGATGAAACGCCGTAAATTCGCTTTAACAGCTGATTATCGTTTTGCCTATAGACTTGCGCTATCCCGTTTCAGTGTCAATGCACCGGAGAGTAGATAAATATAGTCTTGAAAATAGTCTCCGTGTAGTTCGAGTTAATTGTTTCCGAAGGTAATGCGAGGGTTTTAAAAATAAAACATTACGGGCCTTAAATGTAGAATAGTCGATTTGCGTCTCTTCGCATTGGACTCAACACGAAAAGAAGATTTAAAAAATTTGCTGGATACAAATTTAAAAATACTTTTGTTGGACCATTAAAAATGAAATAATTTTATTGAAAATTCAAATTGCTAGAACATCAAATCGTCTCACAGCAATGCATCACTTTTGAGTTTCCGACAACAGTATTTTAATGATTCAACAAAATTATTTTTAGATCTGTGCCCGGCAACATTTTTAGACCTTTCAGCAAAATCGTTCTTTCCGTGAACGAATTCAATGAGCGAGGAGCTTATACATATGGACGGGTATGGCAAGATATAAACAATCCTGATATTACTAAAGGTAAATTCTTAGATGGTACAGTAAGTGCAAAATTAGTATTTACAGAAGCAACACAGAACGATATTCCAACTCTTAAAAACAGTATCTCTTGGACTAGCTATATTAATCAATCTGAAAAAGGAACTCCAAAGGTATTTAAGCAACTGAGATTATTTCAAATTGATTTTTTAGTTAAAGATAAGAGATCAGAAGAAACAGGATGGGTTGCAGGTACGTTTATTTATGATTGTACCATAAATAATAAAAATCCATGGTTGAATATGAAGTTAATGGGTATTGCTTGGGGTAACGACACTAATTATTTTACGGCAGATTATATAATCGGAAAAAGGTTATTAGAATGTTGGATAAATGTTTGGATAAATCCCGATGTTGTGAAAAATTCTTTAGGGTATTTAGGTAGACTTAAGGTAGTACACTCACAAATTCAAAATATTGAGAATTTCTTGAAATTGAAACTAAATGTTGTACTAGAAGTCGTTGACACGCTTGTGCAATTAGAATGAGATTGACCATCTCAATACTGAGATATAAGCAATTAAAAATTGCATTTTTTATACGTGTTGCCCATACAAAGTCGAGTTCAGACGTGTGCTCTTCCGATCTTTGTAGGGCCTAAACTAATATTGAGATTTTAATAAAAAACGAGTATGTGATGAAGGGATATGAAACGGATATTATGAAAAAAATTCATTATTTTCTACCATTTAGTTTGGAAAATAGAGCCTTTTAAAAAATATAATTTCCGATTTTGATTGACATGGAGTGGAGGCAAGTGAAGGAGGCGGCCATTGAGCATCTGGCAACACCGCACTTCTCGCGTATATCGCGTTCGGTTCGGGACGTTCGAGGTTAGATATCGCACTCTATCTGACATTTTAATCTGGATTCGACCGTGAGCCACGGGCTGAAGTGGACGTTCGTGGCCGAGTGATTCTAGAATCTTCCAGAATCTTCGCGGTATTGACTAGCATCTCACCACGACTTAGAATCTCATCGTGCCGTATAGTGACTACGACTTAGAATCTCATCGTGCGTTTAGTAAATTGGGCAGTATTATACCCGCCTGGGTGTAGGTCCCACAAAAGAAAAGAAGAAGAAGAAGAAGACATTTTAATCTACCTTGCAAATGATCACCTGATAAACAATTTTTTTGAGGTTAGGTGGACGAGGTTAAGTTATCGACGACAGTGCGACGTTGTCACATTCGTCACTCCAATCGCGCTGTGTTAGTCTGCGTCTATCTGAATTAATTTTTTTTCTGCGTGTGCGTGC